AGATAATTTCTGTAAATGTTAATTCGGTTCAAATAATAATAATGTTAAATAACTCAAAATGTTGCCCGTTGAGGGGGAGAGAGTCCTAAGAGCTTAACTTAAAGCACTTTAGGCATTTAGGAAATGGATATTTGATAGCTGATGATATTAAAACTTTTTAAAGCGTCAGACTGAGCACTCAGTCAGTCAAGAGGCTGTTCTTGAATCTCTGAAAAGCACTAAAAGAGTTTGGAACTGTGATACTGAGTGGAACACAGTTAATAACACATCTGCTCAAAGTGGTGCATTTCATTAGCCTCATAAGTGCAGAGGCAACTTTTGAATGAGTGGCTGTGTTTTCACTGTGGCTGTTTTCCACAACAGTTTAGGACAATGCAAGTCAACACAGACAAAGTTCTGGAACGTATTCCCCTTCCCAACTCCTTCCTTGTGACAGCTTTGCTTGCCTGCCCCCCTGATGATCTGCGTCGAGAAATTAAACCATCTGAAAGTTGATTGTCTAAGGAGTGAATTGCTCTCATCTTTATTAGCTCCCCAAACCAGCTCACAGGAGCACCAGAGAAGGGACAGCGCTGATGCAAGGCAAAAGGGACAGGACTGTAGCAGCATGGCTTGAAGTAGTATGTTGATGTTCTGAAGTTATGTTATGTCACAAAATTACTTCTTGTCAAGAAAAAGGTGTCAGAAAAGTTTGTTGTATAAATTATCTGCTGTAAGGGACTGTTGTTAAATGCAGTTTTGTTAAACACTGCTCTTTTGGTATTGTATCATTCAGTAGCGCGCTCTCTTTGCCTTGCTGGTTGGTAGTGATGCTGGAAGAATGTTGTTATGTAGACCCCTTTGACTGGAAACATATTTTAAGCCTATGTTTCCAGTTTATTTCAGGTGGTGGTTCTTTTCTCTGCTTTTTAAGTATGCTACAGGAACTGCTAGAAAAGAATGAAACATTTACAAGACTTGTTATTTGGGACTAAATTTACCTATAGGAGAATAATACAGAAATTGAGTTGAATTTCAGGGTGAGGTGAGTTGAAGCTCAAGGTGAGGTGAGTTGTAGATGGGCATAGTTTTTTTGAAGCAGAAATAGTTTAGGTAACTTTCCAGAAAGGAGAGGAATCATGCATTCCTTTTAACAGTACAGATAGGCAACAAACGACAGCCTTCTCCTTCAAAAAGCCTTTAGCCTAGTAACAGAATAAAAACAAACAAGAAAAAAACCCAACACCATACTGGTGCATCTTAGTTGCTGTCAGTTTTAAGGGGGCATGGGCAGCATAAAGCTTTCATAACTCCATTAAAATGTACATTGCCACACTATTGAGAGAGAAGAATAGTACTTCCCCTTGGACATCTTGTATGTTTGACTGTGTGCACTGTTTATCATAACGCTCAGCAGTTCTGTCAGAGGAAGAATATCATTATTTCTACCTTATATGAGAATCTCTGATTTTAACAAGATAATTAGCTGAAAAAGTCTGAGTAAAGCAGATGTTTTTCCTTTGCACGTTCTGCACATACCAAGCTTTGAAGAGATTTGAAGTATTTTATCTGGATTTGTCTTTAAGCATTTTACTAAGCAACATAATAGTTCCTACAGCCATTTGTATTTATCGCTAGCATATTAGGTGAATTCTAAATGCATCACGCTAAGTACTTAGTCAAATGGCAGACAGCAAGGGTACAAAACACATCTGAAGAATTTGAAAAAGATTAGCATCAGCAGCATGCTTATCTACATTCAAATTTCTTTCAAAATGAGCTGATACATAATGGGATCAGCATCCACATAGTTTCTGAGAGTAGTCACTTAGTAGTCCTTAATTGTTTTGTTTCAACAGGTGTTTAAATTCACCAATTTAAAATGAAGCAGTTAATCTGAAAGAAAACATCAGAAGCAACATGTCCCAGTACTGTGCTGAATAGGAATGAAGTTTACTTGCAGAATCCAAGAAGCTGGTTTTGTGGCACTTGAATAGCCAGTTTTCAAGGAATAGCAAATGTTTATTCAGTGGCTCTTTCTGATCTCTTGAGAGATCTGACACTTGCAGCACGAAGTGATGTAGCTAGGTCATTATGAAATGCATATGAAAGAATCGTTCTAAGTTGAACGTCAGAAGTGTTCACCTTTTTTTAAGAGATGCTGTGTAGCTTTAGGATCATTTCTTGAAAGACTCTCAAGAAAGCTACTGGCAAGTCACAAACTGTATAAGCATTAAATATCATACATGACTGAATTCTGTAATTACTGAATGAAGTTCATTGTAGAACTGAATGGAAATTGGTTTGTTTACATTATAAAGGTACAGAAGAGCTGAAAGACACTGGTTTAACTATATCAGTATTATTATTTTTTTCTTTTTTCCCCAGCTGCTTCTTTTCGGTTGATTTCTATCAGACTGTTTAAAAGACTTGTGAGAGGAAGCAATACGTGGCTGCTCTAAAATTCTAGATTTCCTGTTGTTTTCAAAATACATTAATACTAAAAAGAGAATTATGACTTGGTGTCTATAACAATTTCACTTACAAAACAAAGATCATATTGCACCTTTTTTTTTTTTATGAAAGCAGTCAAAAGCTAGTTACTTCCTTTTTTGTTACCTCAGCAACAAGGGAAGTTTCATCTCAACAGACTAGAGCATGCATGGAGCAACAGAATACATGCTTTGATGGTTTTGCAAGAACTATTGCCAGTGTTCACGTGGTGTTGATTCAGTCACGCTTCATTTCCTAATGTGTTATAACTATGACTTAAGTTTTCATCAAGTGTCTTTTTGTAAAATGCTGAATCTTAAACTGCTGAACTTACATAGTTTATATTGTTCCTTTAAAATATATCAAATACACTTTCTTTATTTTTCCCTCTAGCAAGACAGAGAATGCAGTGGGGCTGTAATGCTTCCTCTTATTTCATTTAATCATTCCGCTATGCCTATTTAGGTGTGCTCTTTGCAAATCTGAAAAATGGATCACTTTGCAGTATCAAATTACAGAGTACCTTTTTCCTCTCCCTAACTGCCATTATTTTTGAACTAGCGAGATGTATATATACTTTAGATGACAGTTGAATAATTTCTGTAATGTCCCATCGTCTTCTACAATAAATGCATTAAATAATCTGTATTAGTACAGATCCTCACATGTCTTCCTTCTCCTGTATGGAATCTAGAACATTTAATCATATTTACTTGTTGACAAAATTTTTTAACTTAGTGTAACGCATTTAATTTCTATGACTATTTAGTTTCTGAAGTAACCTATTAGAAGGCCTTTGAAGGCTTCCTGAAGTCCAGAGAAGTTGGTATTTGTTCTTCAGAAGGCCTTTGAATGACTTGTTCATTTCCAGTTTGGAAAGAGAACTTTCCATACCAAAAGAGCTGAACTGAGTCAGACAGTGGATCTAGCCATCCTATCTGTGATCCTGACTAAAGGCTCACAGCAGAGGAGATCCCACTCTTAATTTATTTGTTTTGTAACCTAACCCAAGGAACAGGGTATGGAGAAGCCATGGCTTTACTCTGTCACTTTAATAGAAGTACTTTAGATTAATAAGCATTTCTGTGATGTACTATATATTGTCTGTGAAGTGCTAGTAACCAAAATGACTTACTGCTACGTGAAGCCAAAATTCTCTATGGTGTATTTGTTTGCGGAAAGCTGCAGAGCTAATTTTTGCAATTCCAAATGCCTTGCTAGGAAAAGAGGTTAACGGGAGTAACACAGGCTCTCTGAGATAAATCTGAAAGGCACAGGCTACTGAAATAAATCTCAAGTAAACTAAAGCATTATTACAGATGTTAAGTGGCTAGAAGCAAAGTTACAACATACAATCCCCCAAGGAAAGGAATTGGAGCATTCTTAAGGCCTATGTTGAAACAAATCATAAGTTATCAAGAACAAATCATAAAATTCTCAACTGTCAACCCAGCAGCATGATATCTTTCTGAAAAAAAAACCCAACAGCCTAGAGACACCTTCAACTCCATCTTGCTGAAAGATATCTTAAAAGTAATTCCTGTGAACGGCTAGAATTAGCAATGGCTGTTTGCTAAAAATTATGTCCTGGTTTTATGCCATCTATTGGAATTACTGTTAATTTTTGTCATCTAGAATAAAGGTGTGTTCATGCTAGAATAAAGATTTAATTTTAACCTATAGCGTTTAAAATTAATTTGTGTAAATTAATAAAAAGCAAGCGTTATGCATTTCTAATGCAACCAGAGTGAACAAATAGCTGGGGTAATGTTTGTAAATAGAGATGAGGATGCACTGGGATGTGCTTCTTGGGAAGTTGCATGTCAGTCTGGTGCTGTGTAAAATGAAGAAGAGCTCTGCCAGCAACTGTTAGTGTCCTCTGCAGATGAAAGATACTGGCAAAGCAGCTTAGCACTGCAGGAATAAGTCTTGGTTTCTCACACCTCCCCCACTGCTAATATAGGAGTTGATTGTAATGCAGAATCGTGTATTTTAATGCTGCTTTTGGGAGTGGTACGTACAGTTGTTATGACTGAATTTAGGAAAAGAAAAAGGCAGAAAACCCCCCGAGTCCTTTGCATTTATACCTCTGACACCATTTAATGTTTTATTTGCAAATGTTTTCCCAACATAGCTGTTTTTTTTTTTCCTGTACCTTTTATTTGAGAGAGAAGAAAAAGGGAAAAAGTAAGAATATATTTTTATAAAACAGTGTAGTGTATGCTAGAGAATATCCTTCCAGTATTTAGCTGACTTTTATTCTTTTTATTTCCTATTTTTAAATGCATGTGCTTCAGTAAGAAGAAGGATTCTAAAATCTGATATGCTTCCTCTGTTAAGTTGCCTGTGAAGGACTGTGTTGGTTACTTTGTGCATATTTGTCAGTTTCAGCCCTGCTCTTGCAAATATGCCTGTAAATATTCCTACTGACTGGAGTGACACAAGGTATATGTATGAATCAGGATGGGAACTCTGCTTAACTAGTATGCAAAATGCCATGGAATTAATGAAAATGCATAAGGGAAATCATGAGGTTAAACATGAAAATTATAGTGCGTGCTGCTCCCCCTGCCAAAATAACTTGTGGAATCCTCAGGAACCGTGGCGAAAGCAGAAGAACCACAATAAGTACGAAAGTAAAGGGATAATGTTAGAAAAGTAACGTTGTCATGGAAACTGCTCCAAAACCAGTACAGCCACAAAGGCAGCACCACGACCACACTATCATGAAGATGTACGTCCTACTCTGGGTGGAACCCTGGGAACTCAACTTAGTAATACTGCATGCTTGTAGGAAATAGACTTTTTTTAATCTACCGTTCAATTTCAGCGCGTTTGCCCTGGCATTAAACCATTGTTGAGTAAAAGGTACTGTAGTTGAGTAGAAGGTATACTATAGTTGGTAGTTAAGGAATACTGTGTATACAAAGAAAAATTTTGGCCAATCACTTGTAGTTAAGGGTGTATCATCTTCCTTGGTAGATACTGCCCTTTCATTATCTTCTGAGTAGTTCGTTCTTAACAGTCATTTCAACAAGTTCCAGCAGGTACAACCGACGTTAGCTGCTCTTTGATTCCTTGGACCAGTTATATGTGTAATTAAAATACAAAAAAAAGTTGTAATTCTGTCTAGCTTGTTTTTGTTACTACTACTTTTTTCAAAGCTTACCAGTTTTTTATTGGCCTAACTTCTGGTTTATTTTAAAACTTGAGGTTTATATTGCAGTTAGCTATTTGCTCTTGAAT